AACACTGCACTGAGAGAGAGAGAGGGGTTGATACAGACACACTGACTGGACACTACAGCGCATTAAAACTCCACTGAGAGAGAGGGGTTAATACAGACACACTGACTGGACACTCCAGTATATTAACACTGCACTGAGAGAGAGAGAGGGGTTGATACAGAGAAGGGACTGACACACTCAGAGGAGAATCCTATTAAGCTATTGTACAGATATTAGGTTTGTTGATAGTTGAATCTATTCCATTTCTGTTTCTGTCTGACAGAACCTCAGTCCAAAGGACTGACGTCAACCCACCCCCCCGGACAGGCAGACTTACAGACCCTCGAACTACACAGGACAGAATCTCAACCAACACACAGTCCCATAGTTAGAAAAGAGGCCCACAGCCCCAGACGCTTACCTGTCTTACTCTGTCCCTCTTCATCCTCCTGCTGATCGCACTTTCGGCTTCCTGTCTGCACCCGAGCATGCTGGGAAGGCCCTGCCTTGCCGGCACCGCTGTCGTCATCCCAACGCCGGCTCAGTTCCGGGGTGCAGTCGCCATGGAAACGGGGGCCCGCAGTCCGAGCGAAGGAGGATGTGGTTTGGAGCCACACCGCTCCTCTGCTCTCCTGCCTCTGTCTTCCTCCCCCTCCTCCTCCTCTCCCTCAGCTTCCTTTTTTTTCTCTTTGACTCAGAGCAGCGGTCGAGAAGCGTCATCATGCCACCACACTTCCTGTTGACATACCTGCTCAAAACCAAACAGAGGTTCCTATGGGGGGGTGTGGTGAATAGTGCCCTCTAGTGGCTGCGCCGGGAAACAGCTATTGTAAACTTCACATCCTCCACAGCGCAGATCTCCCAATAACACCCGTGTCTCTCTGCTCATCTGTCTCCCCCTTTTCCTGCCTACGTCCATCCTGCGATGGGGGTGTGCGGCTAGGCCAGAAACGGCTTCATTGATATCCGCTAAGGATTATGGGAATGCAGCAAAACAGCACTGCTGGGTCCGGAGCTCCGCGTCGGGAACCGACCCATCTGTGTCTCGCGGACCCTGAGTCTGAAACGATTGGGCGGGGATCAGCCCAGCTGGGAGGGTCGTAGTGGGGTGTGCAGGGATTTTAGGGGTGTTCTGTGTGGGGTCCGTCGCTGCTGCTGACCCCTTTATTAATCCCGTGAGGGAAATTGCAATGCAACAGCAGCTTCTCACAGTCAGCACAGGGCAGTGTAACGAAATGATACAATAATAATAATACAATACATACAATCCAATCAGTACAGTCAGTGAGAAGTGCACTAAAAAAGAGTTGCTCACAGTACAGGATATACAAAAAACAGAACAGTACACAAAAAGTACTGCACATTATAAATATAAAAATATATTGCGCAAGTCCGTGGCATATATTGCAGAAAAACAGCTGTAAACAGGAAAAGCCAGATGTAAACAGAGAGTTTACTGGTCAGTCCAGAAACAGGTCACTGTCAATGTTGCCTCTGCCCAGACACACAGTGGATGAGTTGTACAGTCTTATGGCAGGAGGCAAGAATGACCTCCTGTAGCGCTCCCTGTCGCACCGGGGATGGATCTATGGAGTCTATTGCTGAACGTGCTCTTCATTCTCACAAGCATGTCATAGAGGGGATGGGAGACGTTGTCCATGATGGCCTCTAGTTTGGACACCATTCTCCTCTCAGCCACTTCCTCCAGGGGGTCCAGGCCAGACCCAATGACAGAGCTGGCTCCTCTGATGAGCTCATTCAGCCTGTTAGAATCATGTCCTGCACAGCCGGTGCACTGTGTCCCCTCTGGCTGGCCATACCCTGCCTGTCCTTCCAGGGTTAAGTGGATTAGCCCAGTCAGATCCAGTGTAATCCGCGCTCACCTCCCCCTCTGTCTCAGAGTCACCCTGCCGCAGGGCGCCAGCCAGAGTCCGGGTCCCGGCTGTCAGCGGTCTCGGGGGGATCTCGTCGTCACCGCAGAGGAGGGCAGGGCGACAGGATCAGGGGCTGGTCGTACTGTAGGATGAGCTAAAGAGGGAGAGGGGAGGAGGAAGATGGAGGGAGAGAGGAAGATGGACAGCGAGGAGGAGAGGGACAAGGAGGGAGAGAGTGAGGGAGAGGGGGAGAATGAAGGACAGGGGGTGAGGGACAGCGAGGAGGAGAGGGAGATGGAGGGGGAGAGGAAGATGGGGGGAGTGAGAGAGAAAGAGAGGGAGAATGAAGGAGACGGGGAGAGGGAGAGTGAGGAGGAGGGCGAAATGGAGGGGGAGAGCGAGGGAGAGGGAGAAGGAGAGATGGAAGGGGGCAGAGAGGGAGAGGAGGAGAGGGAGATGGAGGGAGAGAGCGAGGGAGAGGGAGAGATGGAGGGGGAGAGGGAGATGGACAGTGAGGACGAGGGAGAGGGGGAGATGGAGGAGTGGAACGGGCTGATCTTGGGCGAGTGCGAGCTCAGGAGAGGAGGGCAGAAGCCCGTGACGGAGGTGAGAGAGCTGCTTCCTGGGGAGCCCATCACCCCCAGTATGGTCCTGGGGCTGACGGCCAGCACTGCGGGTAAGAAAAGAAACATCCCATAAATATATTTCCTCTAGAGCAGGAGACAGTGTCTGTTGACTTTCTTGTGTGTGTGTCCGCACTCTTCCCGTTTGCAGTTTTATTTCGGAGCTTGAGAGAAACGGTGTTGACCTTAAATGGGTCTCACTACGTCTTTAATGAAGTTGGTGCCGAAAGTTCGAGAGGGGTGACAACAGCCGAGTTCAATCAGCCCCGGCCGTCGGTAATTCGCAGTCGCTCGTGATGTCACTTCCTCTCCTAAAACACGAAAGAGGCTGCACGCGATCCCCATCTCTTCCCGCGCCCCCTCCTACGCAGACCCTATGCAGACGGTATAATCCGGAAGTAAGTGGAGAAGGACAACAGGGAGGAGACGTAGAGGATCAGGACAGGTTGACAGGCAGGGGGGCGTGACTGCGGTGATCCGGTGCTCGGGGGGGGGGAGGCGTGGGGAAAGATAACGAGTCCCAAACAGTCCTAGGGGGAATCTGGGGCGCAGGCCAGGGTCCAGGAACCGGGGGATCCACCCAAGACGAGACAAACGTGGTTAGAACCCGGAACAGGGACGGGGAATCAAACCAGGGTAACGAGGCCTGGTGCTCCGAGCCCCGGACCCAGATGGTCAGGAAGCTGGGGTGAAGCCGAGGCCGTCGGGGTCTCTCCTGGACCCGCTGGTAGGTGGGCTTCCGGGCGTCCATCTCCCAGTGCTGAGCCAGGAATAGCGGGAGCGTAAATAAGGAGGGACAAAACAGGGGGCAGGTGCACATAATCAGCTAAAATACGAAAGGATCAGAGCGCCCTTAAGAGGAGGGATCCCGATCGTGACACCTTGTGAATTTTCCCCTAGACTTCAGTTACTTCAGAAGGGGGGTTGTTACGCCTATGGGCGTCTTGTTTCCTTCTGTGGGGGGGCGTGTTTTGTTTTTCCTCTTGCTACGCCGCCGGAGTCTGTCCAGGTCAAGGAGAGATCGGGACACCCACTGCAGGGTCGTAACGGTTTGCACTCAGGGCGGCTGACGGCTGTGTCCATCCTACAGACTACCTGTGCTCCCCAGAGGACAACATCTACAACATCGTCTTCTCTCGCTTCAAGATCCGGGACATGGAGAGCGGAGGCGTGATACTAGAGATCAGGAAACACTGTCCCACGGGTGAGGCAGGCCGTCTGGACTGGGGGTGACTGGAGCTGGAAAGGCTGTCTAACAGCACAGCCCCGCTGTCTCTCTCCCGCAGAGATCCAGGATGTGAGAGAAGTTAATGCAGGCAGGTTTATCCGGTATCACTTCACCCCTGAATTCCTGCAGCTGAGAGAGATTGGAGCAACGTAAGTCTTAATGGACCAAACAGGATTGTGTGTGTCAGTACTGGACAAGACTGTGTGATTGTGAGTCTATACTGGACAGGAATGTGTGTGAGTCTGGACAGGACCGTGTGTGAGTCTATACTGGACAGGCCTGTCTGTGTGTGAGACTGTACTGGACAGGACGTCTGTATGTGAGTCTATAATGGACAGGAATGTGTGTGTGAGTCTGTACTGGACCGGACTGTGTGTGAGACTGTACTGGACAGGACTGTGTGTGAGTCTGTACAGAACAGTGTGTGAGACTGTACTGGACAGGACTGTGTGATTGTGTCTACACTGGACACAACTGTGTCATTGTGAGTCTATACTGGACAGGACTGTGTGTGAGTCTGGACAGGACTGTGTGTGTGAGTCTATACTGGACAACACAGTGTGTGTGAGTCTATACTGGACAGAGCTGTGTGTGTGAGTCTGTACTGGACAGGACTGTGTGTGTGAGTCTATACTGGACAGGACTGTCTGTGTGTGAGTCTCTACTGGACAGGACCATGTGTTTGGGGAGTCTGTACAGGAATGGACTATGTGCTGAAAATGAAGTCTACATTTTCTGTACTTTGCTGTGTTTCAGTGTGGAGTTCACAGTGGGCAGTAAAGCCCTGAATAAGTTCCGTCTAATCGAGAGACACTACTTCAGGGACAGGCTGCTTAAGAGCTTTGACTTTGAGATCGGCTTCTGTATCCCCAACAGCCGCAACACTTGCGAGCACATCTACGAGCTCCCAGAGCTGGACAGCGAGACAAGTACTAACACACCCTACTAATGCCACCTCCTTCTCCTGCAACCTCTCTCAGTGCAGTGTTAATGTACTGTAGTGTCCA